CCCCCCCCCCAAACCCCCCCCCCCCCAAAAAAAAATCATTCTAGAGTCAATTACCTCTCCTTAATAATGCGGAGCTTCTCTTGTTTGCTCGCTGCAGCATCCAGCATCCTCTCAGCGCCATCTTGTGGTGCGGTGGCCCCGTTTCTGTTTTGGAGTGGAGCTCCCCTCCGGCCCAGTGCCAAGCCCACTAAAGTTTCCTCCATTTGGGGTGACTTGTCTTTCTCTTGCCTGCGAGGACGGGCAACTCCATAGCTATTCGAACCTACCGCCCCTTGCTCCTCTTCATCATCGTCCTCTTCATCATTCTGAGGCACTCTCCGTTCCAGGTCGTCCCATCTTCTCAGCAAGTGTTGAGGACGGCTGAGGCCGGCAGTTGAGTGCACGCTCTCGTCTTGTGTGCGTCTCCGAAGACGAGAGAGGAGAGAAGGGCAGCGGCTCCGCAGGGAGGAAGAAAGCCAGGAGTTTCCGCTACTGGCCGCCTGTCTGCTCCCGACTTCAGGCTCTCTGGGCAAAGCCACCCTGGCTCCAGCTACTCCACAGTCTTTATCCTCTGAAATTGGGGAGAGGTCCACTCTGCGCTGCCTGGTTCCGGTGGCATTCGGCTGCCAATTATGAGAGGGCGTCTCCGCATCCCCAGATATCCTGGTACCCTCATCGCTGTCCAAAGACAGGCTGTCATCATCAAACGAACGAACGCTGGATGAGCTACTGGAGGAGGGGGAGTCTTGGCTGGAGTGAGATGCGAAGAGGCGGGATAAGAGGTGCCGCGTGGAGGTACGCCATTGAGGGTCGCCATCTTCATGGGTAGGTCTCCGAGAGAGCGGGGCTTTCGGTCGGCGGGAGGAAGGCTGTTCCTGAAATGAGGCAGAGCTGGATGAGGCGTTCAAAAACCGCGCCGAGGGTCGGTTGTTGTGGTCACGTGGTGTAGAGAAGCGATGGGTGGAGGAGGTGGAGGCTGCCTGACCGCCAGGGGAGCTTTTTCGCTCAGCAGTGAAAGAGCAAGATAAGTAGGCCGAGTCTTTGGGTCGAGCTCCTTGGGCATAAGTGGATGTCAGGCGGTCTGTCTGATCTGAGGGCAGCGAAGAGGAGAGCACTTGCATCAACAGCCAAACAAACAAGCAGAGAAGGCTCAGTCTATAAAGCAGACTAATCAGCTGCTTAGGACTCCCCCTCATTAAAGTGCCTCCAATCTGAATATTAATGACATTCTAAATGGCAAACAGAAAAGAAATCCAAGGTTGTGTACCATCGGGACGATGATGCATGACAGTAACATGCGGTGACAAGGAAAACTTCAAAAAAAAACCTTAGCGTACCATAGAATACATCAATGCCTTCGCTTGTATTTTGAAGTGGTGGCGGGGCAGCTGTTTTGACTCATCTATTGACACGTAGTGGGCCCCACCTATCGTCATCACAAACTGGTGCCACCAATATCTTTACAATGACATGCCGACATCATGCTCAGTTGCTAATTAAAGATGCACAAAAAACCTAATTGGGCTGACAGTCAGCCAAGTGTCTTGTGGAAGAGAGACGCTGTCATAGGACGTCATCTCATGGCGTAGTATTCGCTCCCCACATTCGCAAAATAACTAAACGGGGACGAGACGCATGTTTTTTTTTTTATCCATTTTCACTTAATTTGCTGAAAAAAATTATTGCAACATTTGGATAGAAACCCTATTATCGGCATTACTCGCCATTATTAATAACTGCAGGCCCACAGTCCCCTGGACCAAGCGAATTGAGTAAAAACCCAAGGGTTTTTTTGAGAAAACCTGAACTGAAGAATCTGAAGATAATCAGTACAAATTGGCCATCGCTTTAAGTATTGGAGTCTTATATCAACACATTTCATTGTTTATTATAATTATCTTAATTTTCAACTGTTTACATTCACTTTTTGCACTTTATACTTGAAAGAAGCTTTTTGCGGTATGTTTAGTCATGGTTCAACAAGACTTTTTTTTCAGTCCCTATGCACCAAAACAGTGTAAAATTCTTCAGCACAAAAGCTTTACAGTATACAGTATATTCACCTTATTTACTGTATGTTGTGATATTTAACTCTATTCACATTTTTGCACTGTTGTACTAGTGGTTGTGCCTATACAGTTCATTGTGAGAATGAAATAGTTTTATTTATATTCCATTCCTATATAGCTTATACTCTAGATTGTATTTTATTACAGTTTGCTTTATTTCACTTTAAAACAACTTATTTTATGTGAGTTTTGCTAAGTGATTACAAGCAAATGGGAAAGAAAAAAAAAGCAAATGCACAATTCAACTAACTTCTGCAGTGCAGCGAATTCTGACCATTCTTTGAAATCTGAGTGTATGAGTTCCATGTTTGGGTTGCACAGTACACTGTAACTAAATGGAGTGGCAAAAATAAGGGGCCCATTGGCATTATTTTGCTAAGAGCACCCAAATGACCTGGGCCAGCCCTACAAACTAGTCCTCTTGAGGATTCACAAAAAGGACCTACACAATGAAGACGTCAGTTCCTGGATTCTCGTCCTTCGATCACGCAGCCCCGACAGTCCCGGCTCATTGGGCGTCTCTGCCTCTCTGCTTGACAATTGGGTCTTTGAGCAGGAAGCTGAAGATCGTGACAGAAAATGGCTCGAGCTCCATGACATATCGCCGTTGCTGTGTTTCTCCTTAATACCTGCTAGGAGAGGAGAGGACACAATGAGGCCAAAAATAACTCCATTGAGTGGACATGGTATGGACAATGATATTCCGGGTTAAAATGTGGATTTTGCACACAATTCACTAACAGGCACTTGGTGAATAGTGTTGAAATGTGTCATTTTAAAGAGCGCTGCTGAGTATTTAGGTACCTTTGGCATTGTTAAACCCACTACTCGAGTACGTGGATCCTGTAAGTGAGGTGCTGGAAGTTTTTGAGTACAGTCCTCTGTTGCTGTTCGTCAGTTTGGCTCGCTTATTGTCTCCATCATCAGTACTGGTCAACAGACTGGGACGGCCAAACCTACTCTCCACGTCAGTCTGTAAAAACAGGAATATGCATTTAAAAAAAAAAAAAAAAGTTTCAGATGTTTTTGACAATCTCAACAGAAACCAGCTTGACCTCTTCGGGTAGTCACTTGCGGCCCTACTCTGCCCCAGCCTCGCCTCCATTTTTGTTATGATTGGAGACTATTACTACTTTCTCCAGCAACCGGCATGTTCCTTGGCTGACATTGTAGAGGATGTGGTGGGACTATTCGGGAACGTGTGCATATAATGAAAGATGGTGCTTTTTGCCACAAGGTTCACAAATTCATCCACAGGTATATATGAAATTGTAAATATATTTGTAAACGCATATATAAAAAAAATGTGTCCTGGATATACTGAATTTTTATGACTTGGCGGCAGCCAGCGGGCAGCTGTGTCTGGCTTATTTAAAACCAGGAAGTGGGAGTGTGCAGTGGAGTTCCTTGCCACATCGCTTGAGGAAACGGCTACATCTGACAGAAAATCAAATGACAGTGACGTCAAGGCCCCTGTCGACCTGCGTTCCAGAACGAAGACGGAAGAGATTCTGAAAAAAATAGTGCCATTGTAGGCACCTGGCCTAGAAAACGTGTAATGGAAAAGTGACCACACAGGCTGTTTTGGGTGGGAGCGGTACAATGGAAAAGAGACACAAGTTTGTGACCCGTCCTCCAAACACAAGAACTTGTTGGTGCTTCAGTACCACTTTAGTCCTGCTGCTGACTGATGATTCTGTCCATGGACGGTCATAAGAGCGGGTGGAAGATGTGAGAGAATTCCTGCTGCTACTGCTGCTACCACTGCTGCGGAAGTCAGCGCTGTTGTAGTCTCTGGATGAACTCAGCAGGTGAGACCTCTATCAAATTGAATATTTTAGTTAGTCTACTGGGCACAATTAGACAATAGTTACTGTTGAGAAACTGAAACTCCGAGCATTTAGACAATTTGATATGAAATATTTTTTCAAAGGGGGTACGGTATCTAAACAATTCGATTATCAAAAATATTGATGAACCTGATAATCGATTAATCGCTGCACCTCTGAAAAGTACAGTAAAACAGTTTTAAATTGTGTTCTATATTTAGTGTTCATTTTCCCTGTTAATAAAATAAAACTGACTGAAAATTCTTAGAACACCAGCATTGCATCTCAAGTAAAATTCCTTCCGAATGAGATAGATATGAACAAGCTTGTTATTGAGCATTTGCACCAAGCCTGGAGTCTTCTGGAAAGAACACAACATACAGAGCACTCAAACTATCTGTAACACTATCTTGTGAGAAGAGTCTTGACCAATAGCTGGGCTCAAATGTGCACGTCAGCTGGCAAGGAATCTAGAATGTTCTATAAAAAGACCCCCGATGAGTCTGCTTTTGCTCGATTGACATGCACGCACAGCCACACTGTTCTGACTCCTCCACAACGCAAGGAGAGAACATTGAACCCATCTCAAATGACGGCGAGCACTAATGCAGTTTGACAGTGCAATCTCTTTCAGAATGTGATTGGAAAGCTGACTTAAGCATGTTCCAATTGCCTTTGGGATGGAGCTGAACTGCGAATATACACGTTTGATCCATGAATTACCCATATATTTCCCAATTCAATTACCATTGGTTTTGAAACCATCCTCTTTATCTGATGTTCATAGTTCATCCTAAAAAGTGTTTGAGAATACTTCGCCATTGATTCAAACACTTTTTTTTAAGAGACAACTAAAAGGCAGAGAACTGGTTAGCCCTGCAAATGGTTTCGTCAAGTCTTGGTAGATTTTTTTCATTTAAGGATCAGAGGTCAAATTAAGTTCATCTGGAAAATGTATAATAGTTTTAGGTTCATTTACAAATTTCACCCAAAAGCTGAATATCCCTTATTTTTTGTGACAAGTCTAATATGTTCCTGGTAAACTTTGACTTCAAGTAACCCTGCCGACCTGTGTCAAACATAGATATTCAAATTCACAGGTTAGTTTCCAAAATCCTCCTGAATATAATGAAGTTATGAACACTACCAACTAAAGATGGCTAAAACCCATTACCAATTAGTGGATTCACAGTGTCAAGAAACTGAGACAAAACAAGTTTATTAACAGTCTCCCAGTCTGTACTAGTTGGTAGACTTGAAAACAAGATGAATCGGCTAAAGCCTACAGCAATGCATCCCTCCGTTATTGTGAAATTTGCAGTTCGACTCCTTGTTGGAAACCACATGTTGTACAAAAAGCACTGAAACATTACACAGGCCCTTCAAAAGTTTAGAGACGGTCAAGTTCACCATGAAAGGATCTTGTCCATTTTAGGGTTATGCTGAAATGTCACATGAAAACCAAGCGTACCTTTTGGTCCACGTCTACTTTGTAAGTGGATGATGCCCTCGGAAAGCGGTCATGTTGAGGCAGAGTCTCCCGGCTGTATAACCTGCTGGAGCCAACTGACGTCGAGGAGGATGACAAAGTAGAGGACGCGGACGCTCTGGGGCTAGAAGTGGACAAGCAAAAGGGAAGACTGAGAGACCTGGAGTCCATCCTGGCTCCCTGTTGAACAAGCAAAGATGTCAAAACACAATTATTGAAAGAGACGAGATGGAAAAAAAACACAAACAAAAGTCTAGGTGGGGCATTGACTGTCATAACCTGTTCTGGTTGACAAAAGAGGCTGCGTCATAAAACCGGTGGGAAAGCACCAGAAAGAAAGATTCATTCAAACATTCTTTCCATCCAGAAAAGACGTGAGCACCGTTGATTCTAACACTAATTACAACCCAACTAAAATCTTTAAAACAGTTTAGAAGTCTCTTCTTCCTTTTTTTGGGGCATTAAACCTGTGTGTACCGTCCTCCCCCTCTCCTAAAAAGATGCCAGCTGGTCCGACCATTCATAGCTGTAAAGACTAACACGAAACGCAATGAAGCCTTTGCTAGATGACACCTTTAATGTCATCAACAAGGCAGGCTCATGTGGTTCGTCAGACCTCCACCGCCACTGCTGAAAAGCCTTTGAGCATATATTTGCTCATCAGCTTGAAAGGAGGCTTCATTAATTTTAAATGTGTGGCTGGATTGGTAGGAATTAGTTCAGTTTGGAAAAATATAAGACGTGGAAAACACACCTCGATTGACATATTCCACTTTTATGGAAAGATTTTCAACACACAGGCACGTTCATGTTGGGTCCATCAAGACTTAATTTACTGCTTGACCACAAACAGAAACAATGGATAACGAGGAGAATACAAAGAAAAACAATGCCATAATGCACAGCAAAAATATGCAAGGGGTCGACCAGAAACGGTGAACAAGGTGTTTACAAAAAAAGTTTTGTTGAGCCCCAAGTGTGCCCAAGGACAAGGCGGCGCGCATGTGCGCTATGAACCTTTAAAGAGACCATTTACAGTCTGAAATGGTACAAGCCGTGCAGGGGACATTAAAAACCAACGCCGTGCAGAGTATTTTTAACGAGCAAGAGGTGGAAGAAGAAATTGCCCGTGAGAGAATCTGCGAATGCTCCAAAACCTCCACCAACAACAGCGTGGGCGGCAGGTTGCTCGTCCTTACGTTCATAATGCGAGGAGAGTACGTGGTCGTCAATTAAGCCACTGAGACACCGGACCAAAGCAGCACTCTGTTCATCATGCGTGCAAGGTAGGAGGACATACGGTATAAATTATTCCCAAACTGTCTTTGCGTGTGCTGCGAGCGAGCGAGCACGCACCATCTGCTTCACTTTCTGATCCACTCCTTCTCCCAAGTGGATTTCGTACCATCAAAAGACCATCCGGTGTTTCATCTTTTACATCAAAAGTGGAATCTCACTTGGTAGACTTACTTCATAGTATTGACCTGAAACGATATGCTTCATTCTTTCAGGGTTAATGTTTCATTCCATTCAGGCGTAGCTGTGTGTGTGTTTAACATCGTGCAATCTGGTCCAAAATTGACACATCTAGGGGCATGTTTAATGAACGTGGCGGCCAGCTATATTATTTTTTTAAAGCATTTTTTAAAGTTATTAAATATACATGGATGTTACCAAATTAACTAAAGATAAAATATGAACTTTTCACTGCTTCAAATGTAAAATATCCATTTACGGTCCATGTACTAGTACCAATTTAAGATAAGATAAGATAAGAAAACCTTTATTAGTCTCGCAATGGAGAAATTCCCAATTCACAGCCAAAGTAGAACAACAAAATATAGGAGCTGCTGGAAAGGCAGCCACTCACGCGGCGCCATCTTGAAGTCAAAATAACAAAAATAACACAACACAACACATAGGACACAGATAGTCGTGCAATCTTCACCACTTTCCTGCATACACTATGTTGTCTGAAGCAGTTATAGATGAAAGAGGAGAGGATCAAAGTGTCCTTTTACCAGTGGATCAGAGACGTCATGCTGAAAATGTGCACGTCTGCTACAAGCTAAGTTTTGAAAGCAAACACGAAGCTGTAGCGTCCATTGACAAAAAGAGATTAGTTCACTACTCCTTTGTCGTCTCAAGTAAGAAAAATCATCAAATGAGTAGTACTAGAGTGTCATACCAGTAATTTTCCAGTGTTATTCCAATGCTGTGTGATATTTGTGTGCACTAGTAGGACAACTTTGCTATATTAGTACACCAACTACATGTTAATAAATGGGAAAAACTGTGCACTACTTGACATGGATAATCACTACAAAGGTCCATGTACTAGTACGCTGTTTGTGATCATTAGTGAGGAAATTCAAAACACTACCAGTAGGATTATGTTTTACGAGTAATATTATTCCGCACAACTGTATGACACTTTTACACACTAGTAGGACAGCATTGGCATTCAAGTGGGACACCAGTTAAGATAAACCTACTCCTGAGTGCAGGAGACTACGAATGAATAACATGTCTATTTATTGAGCCTGGTAGTGTTACTAATGCAATACAGTAGTTTAATAAGTTTAGCCCTGTACTAGTAGGCCAAAAAACGGCATTACGAGTGTTACTAGTACGACACACGATTTGAGCATTTATTTGATACGTGTGTACTAGTACACGCCTTGTCTGCACTAGTAATAGGCAACTCAGCACACAAAATTGGACTTAAAAAATGCTCAAACGGCTTCATGGCAAGTTGTTTAAATTAGCAAATAAACGTAATAAAATACTAGGTATATAAGATGTTAAATGGTAGAATTTTCTATGTTACTAGTAGCCCCAGTAGCACGCAGATGTCAACTGGTGCAGTTTTGCCTTACTGGTAGAATGTGGGCACCCTCCGAGCATGCCAAAGTTGTCCTACTAGTGAGGACGTTTCCTTTGAACGTAGATCGTGTCATGAGGCCTCAAAACAAACTTGAACAATCAAAATTGCTCCTTAAATTATAATTGCACCACTCCCTACGAAATACCATGAAACCAGAAAGAACGCGGACTTTTGTGAACAAGTTTGCTTTGAAATGGTATGAGCTTCAAAAGTGGAGTTAGTAAGTAAAGCGATGTGGAAAGGACAACTGCTAACAGGTTAGCTTAGCGTTGCTATCTACAGAGCTGACTCGAGAAAGCCAAAGGTTGTTGTTTTGTTTTGTTTTTTTTTTGATGCAGCAAATGAATCCTCGTCGAATCGCGGCCGCTATAACTCATCATTGAAAAATTAAACACGATCATAAATAGAGGAAAGCCTCACCTTGAATTTCCTGGTAAAGCAGCTCGAAACGACAACGCCAGTTGTAGTTGTGATCGCACAGAGACAGGAAATCACATGGCATGGCTTAAATAGCAGGCATGTCTATGTTGTTATAGATATTAAATACAGGTTTGTAAGGAGCGTATGTGAAGCACCGCCATATTGAATGTGGCAAACAGTGGGTAAAGAAGAGCGATGCTACGTTCATTGACAGAGGTTGGAACACTAACGTAAATTAATCACTAGTCTCTGGCCCCGTCTTGTGCGAATCGTCGACCCTTTTATCGATTCTTAATTTTTTTTCACTTTGGATAAATGCAGTCCTAATTACCATTATATCAAAACTATCCTCTGACTTGATAAAGTTATTAAAATAGTTTAAAATTAGACATGCAGCACGCAGTAGGCAAAGAAGCCCACTGGTTAGCACACCCTCAGTGCAGAGGTCGTGGGTTTGAATTCGGGCACCCTGTGTGTTTGCAGGTCCTCCCTGTGCATGTGTGGGTTTTCTCCGAGTACTCTCGTTTCATCCCACGTTCCAAAACTTGCATGGCAGGTTGATTGAACGTTCTATATTGTCGCTCTGTGTTATTGTGAGCGCAAATGGTCGTTTGTCTTTGTGTGCCCTGCGATTGGCGGGCAACCAGTTCAGGGTGTACCCCGCCGACTGCCCAATGACAGCTGGGATAGGCTCCAGAGAAGAGCAAAACACTCAGACGTGGCGGTGAGATATCAAGTTCTGCTGAGAAAAGATAAAGTAGACAAATTCTCCATTACATCCAACAAGACCCCACTCGAGGTAATCAAGAAAGAAGGTCACAATGTGGTCATTAAAGCACCAACTAGAGCTACATATTCTAGAAACACCACATTTGTGAAAAAGTACTACTCTGAGCACACTGCTCCACAAACAACTGACAAAACACGCTTGACATGGACTAAGAAAGATGGGGAGGCAATCAAACAGCCTGCAGAGTCACCGATTCAGACCCATAGTGAGGGGATCAGAACTGAGCCCCTCACACTCAAGCAGGAGAGACCTCATCGGCAGACAAAGCTGCTGCAGAAATGAACAGACTATATCCTTAAATGAACTTTCCACAGTCTAATGGAAAAAAAAGGATTGTAATGTTCATGTGTTTTAACATAAAGTAATGTGCCTCTCATTCAAATCCATGATCTGATAGAGAGGAATATATAGATATTTCAAGTAAGGAAAGGCGGTCTGTCAAGGGTGAATCAGTTTTTCAAAAGTTGTGTTTCCAAATGTTTCCAGGTTGAGAAAATAGGCTAATCACTAATTCATGTATAGTTTCTTTTATGAGTAAATATTTCTCGTTTTTTTATTACGGAGTTGTGAGTTTAATTCTAGGTCAAGAGAGGATGTTATGTATTGATGACACCATTAACAGGATATGACTGCAGGTGTAGGAGTTCAACAGGCGAGGGCGCTGTATACTAGTGAGGTATGCGGAAGTCGAGAACTAAAGGATGGATGTTAACTGATAAACGGGAGTGTGTTCAGTTATTAAAGGTGGGTCAAAATCCAACACAACCCACAAAGACGTTGAAACAGGTTAGACAACAGTGATCCGCCTCAGCTCGTCTAGCTTGTGAAGAGAGCGTCTCAGTCCACAAGCTTGTAATGTTCACTTAGAGCAGCTCAAAGTGTTAATTGCGTGCCGCAAATTTGATCAGTCACATGCAGAAGGTATGCACATACTTATTTTAGAACCATCCTCTCGGAAACAATGAGCAGCAGTTAATAAAAGTATGGTGCCACAAAGTCAACCACAGCCAACCAGACATTCAAGTTGTTAAAGTACTTCAGCAAAAGAAAGATGAAATTTCTTAAAGTCAACTATTTTTACTTTTTGTGTGTATTGTCTGAACACATTGTTTAGTTTTAAACACACGTTCTATGGTTTTAAGGTGATGGCTTAAGTTGTAAGAGAAAAGTCGGGAGTTTTGGAAACGCAGTAAAACATTTTGGATATGTATTTAGAGTTTTGAAAAAATGGGTGGAGGGTTTGAGAAATGTATTCAGCAATTGACAAAAATATGATCAGTGTCTTCACATATAAATGAATACACAATCTAACACAAACCAACAAATACCCTTTCACACCCACACCCGCATCACAAAAAAACTCTCATACTTACCAAATGAATTCTCATTAAAAAAATAAAAATTCTCACACAAATTTCACATTCATACTATAAAAACCTCTCAGTAACACCCCAAAAAAATCACTCACACATGCCAAAAAACTCCCGCAAACATGAGAGCAACCATCACATGTGAACCTCTTTCTCCCATTCACAAACACATTTCTTAAACAGACCAAAGAAAACCTCTCATACCGAACTAAAAAAAACAGTCACACACGAAAAAACAAAACAAAACCTCACGTTAAAAGTCTGACACACTCAAAACCCACTCACATGTGCCAAGAATGCTCTATGTTTGTGAGTGTGAGCTTTTTTGTGTGTGTTATTTGTGGCCTATATGGCATCTCAAACATGCTAACCACAACAAGAGCGCGATGCAAACCCATTTCACGACCGCTGATAAAAAGATTAATTGTTTAATACTCCATTTAGTCGTCAGCGTTTATGGTGTTGATTTGTAATAGTCACGGGTAAAGGTTTTATTAGTGTTGAATAGTACTGCTTTGACATGAGAACATAAATACTTTCACATCAAACCCCCTCTTTGACGTGCCACAGCATGTACTGTAATTACTTAACGAGAACATTAAAAATGAAATATGTTCATTGTACACTGCTGCTCGAGGGTATTCAATTGGTCCTTGTGCTTGGTACAACAGAAACTCACAGGTACTTTTTTTTCCCTCAAGTGCACCACTGTGTTGCATTTGTAGCTTAAAGCCATACAATATTAATTAAAAAAATGTTTCGCCTCTATATGTAATATGTAAAGACTGGAAGATCTGCATGCAATCCCCGAAATGGAGGACACTTTAAATAAATTATTTAACCAACAATGTCACCATTGCTCAATTTTAAAAGACTTGCTGTCAAAACCTTTTTAAACAAGGTCAAATTGATATAAAATCGAAAATCTTTAATTGATTTTTAACAAATGATTGTATCATGATGGTTAAAAAAATAGCCATTCAAATCATGCAGATGTAATTAAATTTGCAACGTGGGCTGATCGTTTTCGGAGATTGGAGAAGCATGGTCTTGTTATAGCAAACACTCGTGTTCAGGGCTGACGTCATTCTGATCTCGGGAATATTTACCACCACAAGAGGGCGTTCTAGTTCACATTTTTTATCTACCACAGTCTTCACTTTTCCAATTTTAGAGGCTGCTCCGTCTTTAATTTGCACTCCAGAAGTTGTTTGCCTAGTCAGGGGGACGATTAAATCCGGTTTCAACAGGTTTAATTAGATCAATTAGAATAATTGTTTTGAAAAGCACTGCGGATCCTGTCTTCGCTGTAAATCCTGGATTAGCAGCCTTCATTTGATTTGCATACTCTAACTCCTCTCTAATTTAGCAGGAAACCTTGGATCAGATCTGCACATTCGTTGATTATTACTTTTAATTAAAACATTTTGGTCCCGATCGACATATGGGTGAAGGCGCTTTCAGAATTCCCAGTTCTTCCATGAAAAAAAAAAAAAATCCGATTAAAATGAATTGAGACATGTTCCAAATGTAACTCATACAAGTACAACTATCTTTCATGTGAAAAACAAAGTTTCCACATTCCCAAAAATTACAACACTTTTCGTAGTTCCACATTTTGCCTGACAACATTCCCAAATTAATGCCGACTTTCCTCCTTCCCCGTTTCTCAAGTGATTAAAACCATTCCAACGTCAATGTTCAAGTCATTCTGTACATCTATGAAACTATTGATCACGTTTCACGAATTCCCACATTATCGAAAACAGACAATCAAACAAATTAAGACATGTTTGAAATTTTGACCTCCACCTTCCACATTTCTCACCCGATTCAAACCATACCAACTTTAAACTGTTCAGCGCATTCAGGACATCTTGAAACGAGTTATTGTATTGCCCAAATTCCACAATAAACCCCCCAATTAAGACATATTTTACACATTGACCTCCCTTTCCACATTTCCAACCACTATAATTTCAAACTGTTCAACTCATTCATCATGGGTACTATTTATCGGATTCCTAAAACGTTTCAACAAAATCTCATATTGAGAGAGATTTTATGTATTTCTCTCCTCCTTCCACATTTCTTAACTGATTCAAACCATTCCTCCTTCAAGTGCTGTGAGAATAATCGATTTTTTAAAATAAAGTATTATGACTACGACAAAGTACATCCCTACTAAAAAAAGAAAACCAAGCATAGACCGGCATGATTTTGTTGTGTTTTTGTGCTGGCCTTGCTGGTGTCACTAGCAAAAGCAAAACAAAACAGCCAAAACGGCCTGTTGCAGGAACCCTGCCAGGAGCTGGTTTAGGCTGTTTTTTTTTTTTTTTAAACAATTCACCTATTCCCAACAGCATTACAATTAAGATCTTAATCATTCACATGTATTTTCTCAAGAAATTGCATTCTCAAGTTAATTTTGCCCTCTGATCACAGATAAAAAAAATGAAACACACCAAATTCAGAGTAAAACTAATTTGCAATAAAGAAGTGGAACACATTGTAGTCATGTTAAGTGCAAGGGGTTCCAGAAAGGTCAGCCAGAACCATTTTTGCACAGGTAATGGATGATAATGTGAAGGTCAACAGCATACTCATCATACATGGTAAGATGTGACTCTTGAGAGCACTGGCGATCCATTATCAGTCAAGTGCATCGGTGTCAAACTCCGGGACTGCAGGGCCATCGTCCTGCATTTTTTCCATCTCTTCCTGTTGCAACACATCTGATTCAAATGAACAGGATCGATATCAGGCTTCTGCAGAGCTTGCTGATGAGCTGATCATTTGAATCAGGTGTGTTGCAACAGCTGCGATTGGCTGGCAACCAGTTCAGGGTGTCCCCCGCCTACTGCCTGAAGACAGCTGGGACAGGCTCCAGAACTCCATGCGACCCTTGTGAGGATAAAGTGGATTGGAAAATGGATTGATGTTGCAACAGGGAGAGATTGAAAACATGCAGGACGGCGGCCCTCCAGGTCCGGAGTTTGACAGCGATGGTTTAGTGTATGCAGCACAACGGTGATCACCCAAATGTGAATCTACTCAAGGCTAACAGAGCCAGAGGTGAAGGAGAATCAGAGAGCGAAAGGGATAAATACAGGAGGGAGGCCCCGCACATTAACTGCTGAAGAAAAATAAAAAAAAGACGCGTGACCTAGAGAAACGAGAAAGTGCAAGGTCTGTGGAGTAGGGGAGGAGACTGCTCAACCCAATTGCAGGGCTACAGGCCAGTACCATTCACCCCCTCCCTCTTCTCTCTACCCCTGCCTCCTTCAGACACATGAGTGTGCACGCTGCTGTGTGAGCAGAGACAACAAGCTTTCCTCCCCCAGTACCGCCGATAGGATGATAATGGAGCATTCCTCAGAGCTGTTTCTCATTCATGCTCGCTGCGACAAGGGAAGAACATGCTTGTTTTTTCCACTGAAGGCGGCTCAAAGTCTTCCAGGCCAGGCCGCCTCTGCTCATGGGCATGTAACCTGAGATGTGCACACAATATCCTCCCCTTGTTCCACTCCTTTCGTTTTTTTAGGTGCCTTGGATACGAGATGGATACTTACCTGCCTCACTGAGGCATTGATCATTAATCACCAGCGCACTGGAAGGCATGCTTCATGGCAACATGTCCAGCTCCATGTTACTGCTGAATAATTGTAAATAGGCTGTGCATTTTAGATATCCAGCAAAACCATTTTTGAACCGCCTCTCCTTACCAGGTCAGAATCAGAATCGCTACCATCTTTTTGCGGAAACTATGTTGACACAAAAGGAATTTGCCACAAATTACGAAAATTCGCAAGAAACTGACATCCACTAAAAAGGTTTGTATTTGACATTAGGTGTCACAAGATGGCAGCATAGCACTACTTTTGCCTGTATGTAATTCCTCAACTCACGTCAACATAGATTCTCGGTAACAAGATGCCATAAGATGTGCCAAAACACTACTTTTGTCAAAATGGAGCTCCTCAACTCACTTTAACAAAGTTCAACTTCACCAAGATTTCATAGGGTGGCAGAAAAGCACTGTTTTGTCTAAATTAAGCTCCTAAACTCACTTCAGGATAGTTCCACGGTACCAAAATGCCACGAGATGGTGGCAAACCAGGACATTAGTCTAAATGAATTTCCTCAACTCACTTCAACATTTGGCACCAAGACACTTCAGGATGGGTCTGAAGCAATGTATTTATGAGTGAGTTATGTCAGGAAAGGCATCCAGCATAGAAACTGTGCCAAACAAATTAGGTGAGTGACTGTTTGTGGTGACCGCTGACAGTAAAAAAAACTAAAGCCAGTTCTTCTTTTTTATAAATGTTTATCTGTTTAAAGACGCTATTAATCAGTAATACTGATGACCAACCAAGTGTGCAAATGATGCAGAGTGACAGAGCCGATTAGGAAGAATACAATAATAATGGCACTAAAGAGAAGAGCAAAAATGACAATGTGCAACTATAAAATTATCTCCAAGGAAAGTAATTATAAGAGGAAATATGATGTTCACATGTTTTATGGGTTCTAGAGTGTATTATTTGATAACAGGGAGGGGTGAGTGAATACGTAAATACATAAAGCACACTCCTACTTGTGCAATTCTGAAAATGAAAAGAAAAACACATGCCCGCAGTGTGGATTTTGCTCAAGTCTTAAGATACAAAATAACTTGAAGAATGTCTGGATTTGTCCAGCAGTGTGTAATCACAAAGGAATGTCCTGAGACGTTTCTGCTTTTCCTCTACAAGACCCCTATTTTCCCACGGCTCGTCCAGGTCTTGAGAATCTGTTTCCTCTCCCTCCCTCGCTTGCTCCACTTTCCTCTCTCACTATGTTTGTGAAGGCACACGGACACCCACAATGGCTGGTTCAGAGAAGAACGATAATACTAAGCTCGGTGTCTTCAAGAGCACAAAGAGCAAGAGCCCCTGCCATGCTCTGCGAGGAGAAAGCACTCAGAGGCAACATGAGGGTAAAAGGTTGCGAGTCATTGCAAATCAAAAGGAACATTCAAATAAGACAAGAACTCAGAAAGCGGCAGAGTTGAAAAGATTGAAAACAAAACAAAATACCTGGAAGAAAGTCACTTTACAGTGAACCCCCACATATTGCATTATTTGCTAAACATGTCACTAGTTGTGCTTTTTGTGCTCAGGCCAAAGTAACAACAACAAAAAAAAGAATATCCATCTTGTGGCACCTTGTCACCAAGTAATGCTGTCGGGGTGTGTTGAGGAGCTTAGTTCAGGAAAAAAAGTGCATTGTCAACATTTTTGATATCTTGGTGATAAAATGAGTTGAGGAGCTTCATTTAGCTAAAGGTAGGGCTTTGTTGCCATTTCATATTCTAGATGGCGCCGTAGTTGGCAGCTGTCTACAAAAGCTTTGCTTTTTTTGTTGTTGTTTTTGACTTTTGTTTTGTCATATGGTGTTTGTTGTCCTTCGTGTGGACCCATTGTGGACAGTTTTCAGCGTTTTGGCCACAACAATCGTCGAATGAGAAGAATCTGTGCTCATTGTTTACTTTCAAACTCAAGTTTGTAGCAAACATGTCATCTGACCATTGGTGAAGGAGGCTTTGATTCTCTCCCCTTTCATCAGCTTCAAACAACAAGGCGAATGCAGGAAAAGTTCTTACAATTGTATAACTGTCCATGTTTTATGCTATGTGTTCTGTTGTATTATTTGGGGGATTTTATGTTAACTGTTCTGTAAAGCGCTTTGTTACAGCTGCAACTGTTGTGAAAGCACTATTTAAATAAAGATGTATTGTTTTGTATTGTAGCTTGGTGCCAAGGAATTACAAAGTTGAGGAGCTTCATTGAGACAAACGTAGTGCTTTGCCACCATCTTATCTTGTGTGAGCTATATTACATAATTGTAAACCTTTTTAGAGGGGTGTCAATTGCATGCCGGTTTTCACCATCACTGTATTATGCTTTGAGAAACTCACACTTACAGATAAAACTCCTTTCCAGTGGTGATTCTCAACCATTAGTAATTGGAGAGCAAATGTTTTGAAGGCATTTTTTCCCTTTCTCGCGAGATGGTTTTATGTGTAGTTATCATTTGCAATTGGAAAGACATCAGGTAAATGAAAATGGTCAAGAGGCAAGGCCACATGCATGGGGCAACACTTTGGTTCTCATTTTCTGGGGCCGACATCTAACACGCTTGTAAGCTATTTAGGGACATACTTGACTCCAGCAAATATACTTCCTGTTGATCTGACTGTTTTATTCAAATCCTCATGTTGTGGAGTGTAACAACAAAGTGAAATGTTGGAGCTGTTTATTTTCAATTAGGGCCTTTTTCGAAGCTGTGTCTAACCCAATACAACCACTAAAAGGCTTCCCCCAAAACACTCAGCGAACATTTGTTGGTCTTAATGTTCCCCAGACACAAAGTGACATCTGCCTCCCTCCCTCCATGCCCACTGCTCTTTGTTTAAAGGAGCACTGAGGGGAGCCTCTGCACATTGAAGGCAAAGATGATGTCACCATTGTGATCATTTCTGCGCACTGTGGTGCCCTATTTTTGACTAGGCGTCACCGAGGGAAGGCCACAATGTCTGCTCGCACAACGCCAAGAGCAACACAGGCCTGCCACTATTAATTAACACCAGGCCTGTTATTTTATTTTATTTATTTATTTTTGAGGGACCACCCCGCAGACCCACCAACATTTACAACTGAATATTTTGAGGTATCTCAACATTTTGTGTACTGTAATTTATTGGAGAGTTTGGTAAACTCTCCAATAAATTCCTTGAATGTGTTCGATTGGCCAATGAATGTGAGTATTTAAAATATTATAAAGCATCATGTTAAGTCAGAGCCTTTATGATGTACTGATTTGTGATGCGCATAATCAGCACTGTGATTCACCTTAAGTATGCGACATGGTTAATATTTTGTCTACATACACTTCGATGGCCGGTTTACCTAAGTCAATTAAATCGACTCATTTGGTTGTTTAAAACACCAAATGTTACGACTGATGTCCTTTCAGGAAATGTGGAAAATAAAGCTGCCAATTTTTCAAGTGGACAGGCCAGTCATTCTCATAGCATTGTACGTTGGCACCCTCTGGTGGTATGTGAAAGAATCACTGAATTGAATATTCCTCATGTTGTAATGCGTAATGTTCTCCCTGTGCCTGCATGGGTTTTCTCCGGCACTCCAGTTTCCTCTGACATTCCAAAAACATGCATGACAGGTTGATTGGGCACTCCAAATGGTCCCTAGGCGTGAGTGTGGATGGTTGTTTGTCTCTGTGTGCCCTGCGATTGGCTGACAACCGGTTCAGGGTGTCCCCCGCCTACTGCCTGAAGACAGCTGGAATAGGCTGCAGCACCCCCCGCGACCCTTGTGAGGATAAAGCGGATTGGAAAATGGATGTAATGCGTAATTCTTATTTAAAATTCAGTCCAGTGCATATGTACAGTTCGGTTGCATTCACTTACAAACAGTACATTTACAATTAATCCTTCAGAACAGTTTGTTTTCCAAATGTATTAAGATTGAGTTTTAATTTCACTTGAAATGTAAATTGATTTATTACTTAAGTAAAGTTTGGTATTATATTTAAGTGCACTTAATGTTGAAACTGTGCATCATGTTACAGTGGTTTAAACTGATAGACAGAAACGACGAATAGCGATGGGGCAAATATATGCAATGACAAACGGCATCATGTACACAGGATGATGATTGTTCAATTTCCTGTGACAGAGCCCAATGACATGCAGCTACTTGAGGATTCCAGGTCTTCTTCACTATTCATCAACATCACTTTTTGTCATAAAGATGATGGAAATACACCTACCTCACTCCAATTGTAAGAGCGCTTTTTAGCACACAATTTCAAAACATGTCGTCTATGAAACTGAAGCCGAGACATGTGTGTCGTTTAAAAAAACACAGTTGATACACTCCGAAAACTTCAATCGGGCTTTGGGCCAAATGTCAGCTCATGATGAAGACAAAGCAAGCTGTTAGCCTGAGGGAGAAGATGTTGCCATGCACAGGCATTATCCAAAAGCTTCCCACAGTCATCCTGAAAATTCATCAAAAATGTAGGAAGGAAAAAAAACACGTTTTTTTTTAATACAAACTGCTGCACGGATAAAACAGTTTGACAGTATATTCCCATTTCACAGCCATTTTGAATTTGGCTTTCAAAACATTGAGAATGGAACAAAATATATATACTACAAAGCACTACAGTATTGCACACGTATGCACACATACCAGTATTTTATCTAAAAATCAACAACTTTTGTCTTAAGCACTCAAAACCTTTGAAGCACTGCTGCAGTACCACTTGCCAATATTTTATCTTGTTTATTTGAGGACTGAAAGGAGAAAAACATGTTTGTGGACATACTGAGTTCTTTGTAATGTTCTTCATATGTACGCAGCAGTACCAACATTTCAGTTTGCTGGAAATATTTTTTTTTGATGCGCTCAACAGTCTGAAAATAGCTCGTGATATGTATTTTTTTGTGCACTCAAAAGACTTTGAGGTCTATAATTGGACCACGCGTAGAATTTGGGTGTTGTTTATTCTCATCAAATGATGGTGTCCGCCTGTGTTTTTTCATATGGGAAACAAAGACCATCGAACAAGTAACGTGTCATTCGCATCACAAATCCACAAACAAATTGATGTGTTATGCGATCCAAATAAAGACTTGGGGATGTTTTGTCGAATTAGACGTATGTTCAAATGTGGAAAAATCATTTTTACTATTAAAAATGTTGAATACAGTGAGACACGGTTCAATGAATCAGAATGATGAACTATGCGTACAGGACAGCAATACCTCATTACAGGCTGCTCAAAACAATATGTACAACAGCTGTGGAATGTTTTTCACACACATGGACGCCACATACTGTCGATTAATCTATTACAAGAGAAGGAAGTGATACATTTTTACAGCTATAAGGCATTCTCAACAGGTCTCATTTTGCAATCTCATTTCAGGGTTTTGAAGCTACACAAAACATTTGGAAATGGTTTGATTTCATTCATCATCTCTCTTTTTTTTTTTTTTTTTTTTTTTTATGATACAGTGGTACCTTGACTTTCAAGTTTAATTAGGTCCACAACCAAGCTTGTAATTCCATCTGCTTGTGGAGTGGAGCCTTGAAATACGAGTCCCTTGATTTACAGTTGTTTTTAGATATGAGCCTTTGCTTGGCTGAATTTTTGGTCTTGCGATACTTGCAAAAAAATTTTGATTTGAATATCCTTCAGACCTCCTATCGCTAGATGTAGAGGAAGTCTCACAACATACGGACACCATCAATTCACATTGGTTTCTTTGCAGTGGAAGGACAATAGGAATTGGTGGCAAAAGCGTCATGAAGCTGATTTGTCAAATTCCCCAAAACCTCACAGATGAGGAACACGAAAAACAAAACAATGAGACACAGTCATATTTTGTGCTCACGTTTTCCATGTGTGCAGATTATATGGGGACCACATGTAGAGTGTGCAATGGATCCCCACATAGGGATCGGGAATCTGGGTATAAAATTCTTGACTAAGTGGGGATAAACCTCCAATAAGTGTTTTATACCAAAAAATTGAGGTGCCCCCCCCCGCCCCCCCCAATTGAAAGTGTATTAAAAAATATTGGGAAAAAAATATGTCACAGAACAGGTGAATCTGCAGATACCAAACCGCAAGTAACTGGGAGTGGACTGTACTGTTTGTTCTTTATACATAATCATTAGTGCAATTATCCATTTTTCCGAATCCGTTTATCCTCACAAGGATCAAGGTGAGTGCTCGAGCCCATCCCAGCTGTCTTTGGGCAGTAGGCGGGGGACACTCTGAACCGGTTGCCAGCCAATGGCAGGGCACATATAGACATACAACCATTCACGCTCACAATCACACCTAGGGACAATTTTGTGCGCTCAATCAACCTGCCACCATGTGTTTTTGGAATGTGGGAGGAAAGTACCCTGAGAAAACCCACGCACGCATGGGTAGAACATGCAAACTCCATACAGGAAGGGTGGAGCCAGAATCGAACCCTGCTCCTCTGCACTGTGAACCAATCGATCACTGGGCCGGCCTAGTGCAATTATTCTTAGGAAAATACATGTTAAAAGGTGAATTTTTGTGGTTTTGGAAGGTTGGAAGGGATTACGTGCATTTCTATTCATTTCAAAAGGGGGAAGATGATTTGGGAGAAGTTTTTATGAAACATGAGCATGGTCAAGGGCTTCAGGCACCACTGTACATAAAACACCCCCCGCTGCTGTGTCTGTTTTAGAACACAGTGGCACCTTGACTTCCAAATGCACAGGTTTGTAATAATCATAAAGATCTTCCTGTTCCACAAGATGTGGCTGAGTTTAGATTAGTTAGGTATTAAATGTACAAAAAGAACCTTTTCCACGCTTTGAACCAAAATTTCAATAGAACACTCAGCCAAATTAAAACTTGACACTGTTTGAAAGGAAGCAGAAAACATTTGTGACAACCGACTGATAACAACAATTGCTGTCAATTGGAGCTGAGAGTCTCCTGTGGATTTTCTTTATGTGGAAGCCCATGGAAGGTTTGGCTTTGCATTACAAGTCACTGCTGGGTGACTTAATAGAAAGTCAACATGCGGAATCATGATATTGTGAACGTATTATTTAAGCAACGTGTGTGTTAATGTCGTACAAAGGCAAGCAAACCAATCATAACCTATTCAAAATAGAGCAAGTATTTGAGCATGTACAGTTGATTATATCCAGTGTGAGGTCCATGTTCTTGTACTACAATTTTTTTTGTCCTCACTTGTAAAACAGTTAACCACACGAGTAGAAAAACTGTTTGGCTAGTACCGTTTTTGTTCCCACAACTGTATGACATTTCTGCACACTAGTAGAACAACTACTATGATAATACTGGGACAAAACTCAGCACCCGGCGAGATGTGTGCTACTAGTACTAGTAGTGAAGTTCTGAATGTTATTATATAGAATGTCACAAGTAGTACTTGAACCAGTTCATGGTCGAACTGAATGGTGATGGGATCCCACTAATGTAGAAACAAATAAAATCCAAACCAAAAATATTGATTGAAGGAAAAACGAAGGACCAACAAAGTACAAGCAGTAGAGCGAGCGAGGTCAATCGTCCGACAAGAACTTGGGAGCATGGCAGTCCTTAAATGCTTGAACAGACTTGATTAGAATAAGGAACCGGTGCGCCTGCTAGAGGGAAACACCCTTTACTCAAGCTGGAGCTGAATCAAAACAAACACACATTGAACACGGCAGGATGCCAAAGTTGTCCTACGAGTGAACTCACTAGTACTTTGGACCTTAAGACAATTCATCACACTCGGGACCATATTTTCCTGTGTGTGTAAGACAGAAAAGGAACGTAGCAGCGCAGTTTGATTTTAAACATTTAAATGCATGGTAATTTTATTTTTTTTTTAATTTAAATTGAAGCAAAGGGGTAATGTGCACCCTGTGCATAGACGGTCGTACAGTGGCTATTGTACTTTTTTTGTATTTTAATGTTGGTCACAAGGGTGGTACTGCACTTGTACTGCACTAGTGCCAAGTACGTTGTATGTTTGAGGCAGTAAATGGTGTAAAAAGAGATTCACATTAAGTTTCACATCAACCGTGACAAATGAAATCCCCTCAGCTGCAGGTGTCACAAAAGCAGAACGAGATCAACCGCAATGTATGAAAGATCATTTTCTGGGAGAATCTTTTTTTCTCTCGTGCCAGGGGAAACTCCACGTTACTTTATTTTCTGTTGATCCACTTGTAAAAAGAAAGTGCACAGCTAAGTGTATTCAACTGCAGTTTTTTTTTCCCTGAGATGTTGTTCATGTGAAGGAAATAGAGATTTGATTGCCTCAGCGAAAGCACAGCACTTAGCTGCAAGATGCCGAAAATGGAAAATTTGTCTGCTGTGTGCATAAAATGACATGAGTATGAATGTCTTTTTGTTGGATTCTTTTTATTCGGCCTGGCTGGTGAGATATTTGTTTGTGAGCTCATGCTTTTGTGGGGTGAGGCATCACTGAAGGGCCTCGGACTTGCTTTTGCACTTTTCCTGGCATAAGTGACTCCTCGTTCCCAGAAAAGCAGCACACTAATGCATCCTCGGTCTGTCTTTCTCCCTCCCTCTCTATCGGTCACACACTGACACCATGTGCACGCATCTCATCACCGAATGACACTGTGAATACACCTCATCAACAAATGAGTCACTCCACTACTCTGCTATTATGATGATTTCTCCCTTCTGTGTATTACATCATGCGCAGGGGCTCTGCACAGTTACATTCGCCACGATAAACACTGTCGAAAGTGCTCTCCTTTCGACTGTGTCGGGTTTATTAGTCAACTTGGCAGGAAAAAACATTTAATTGATGTGTTGAATAAAAACACTTCGACAAAAGTAAAAATGAATTGTTACTGTCGATAATACAGTCTGGTTGAGATTGAAAACATGCAGTGGCCTTCAGAGGTATCGTAGTGAAGTCCATCAACTTTGATGGGACGGATAGCTGCAAAAATAAATCCAGATGAGCTTTCAACTTTGTAAATTTAATGAGATGAAAAACACATTTAGATATAAAATAGTGTGTGTGTGTGTGTGTGTGTGTGTGTGTGTGTGTGTAGATTAAAAAGTATATACAGTATATACAGTATATGTGTATAGGGCGGCACAGTGATTGACGGTCAGCATGTCAGACGTGCAGGGTTTGATTCCGGCTCTCCTGTGTCGAGTTTGCATGTTCCTCTTGTGCCTGCGTGGGTTTTTCCAGGTACTGCAATTTCCTCCCACATCCCAAAAACATGCATGGCAGGTTAATGGAACGCTCTAAATTGTCCGTAGGTGTGACTGTGAGCTCAAACGGTTGTGTGTACCCCGCCCAAATGTTGAGAGCAAAATTAAAACGTCTACTTGAAGATACCTGGAAAATCTACTCAAGTTTAATTGCCACCACTGTTTACATCTGATGTAATTGGAATACACTGAGCGAAATGAACAACGTGGCTGTATGCCGTCACTGAGGGGCCGGGTAACTTTAGAACAGCTGCTGCACAAAAGTGTGTCGCAAATATCAATGCGTTGCCTCCCTTGTCCCTGGAGTTAAAGGGAAAGAATGAAGGGCACTTTTTCACTGTCACGTTGATTTCAATACGCCATTTTAGGAGAAGCTTAAGGAAGATCTGCAATTGGCTCTGAACACTCAAAGCCATTACATCAATTGCAAACCTTCCTCAGTGACGGATGGTTGCACTCTAATCAATAAGAGTGTTCATGTAGCATAATCACAGAATTTCATGTCAGTGAGAGTGAGTGTGTTACTTGAGGCAAAGCAATATTACATACACCAGTAGCAAATTGGTCTCCGGTGCTTTAATCACGTCAGCAGCTCAAATCATTGACTTTGCAAAGCATTATGCAGTATTGTGTTCTGTTACATTGTGCGCAACACTGGTGATGTATTGAAAGGATGCTGCAAAGAAAGAACCTGATGTGGGGAGATTAATTACAGTTCACTTGCAAGGTTCTTGTATTAATACAAAGCACAAGATAAAATTAAGTTACAGTACGAGTGTAAGATGTTAGCACTACAACAAATGCTTAACACAGCAGAACATTGTCTTCATTGAATTTATTGGGTGCTTAATTGTTATTATGTACTGGAGTGCCAAATGTAAGCAAGGTGTAATTCAGCTGTATAAAAGGATGCTTTCCGTGGTCCACTTTTCTTGTTTGAGCACTATTTTCAGCGTAATTTATGTTCTTCAAATTACGCATTTCGAGTTGCTGGAAGCTTGTGTTAATGGCGTCATCCTACATTGAGGATTGTGCGGGGAGGAGGGCAGATTCATCTGTATTCCCTGAAAGTGTCTGCGAAAATCAATAAATGCAAGCACAGCTCCTCGCTTCTGACGGCTGTCCCTTTCTTTGCAGGGTGGACTAATAGAAAAATAATAATTAAATCCGAATCGCCAGATTAATTTGTTTTCCATCAGTCTCAGGAGAGATTTTTTTTTCTTGTTTCTTTAGAGCTCATTATACTTTCTAATCTACACACACACACACACACACACACACACACACACACACACACACACACAAAAACTCTTTTCAATAGACATGCGGTCTCCCATCCCCCCTTCTCTTCCCTGTGGTGCTCTTTCTCGCATTGCAGTCATTGTGCTGGCACTTATTATGTTACAAATGACTGAGGTACAGCAGCCATTCTCAGTGTGCATGCAAAGAGGGCCCACCCTTCTTTGCGGCTAGTGCCTTCTCCTAATGACGATGCTCAGAGTGCACCCCCCCAC